TTAAAATGGCAAGATTTCAAGACAAAGAGAGAATCTTAAAGACAGCAAGGAAGAAAAAGGAAGTAACATACAAGTGAGCCCCAATAAGATTAGCAGCAGACTTCTCAATGGAAACTCTCCAACACAGAAGAGAATGGCAAGAAATACTCCAAGTAATGAGAACCAGAGGCCTGCAACCAAGGCTACTTTACCCAGAAAGGCTCTCAATCAAGAAAGAAGGCCAAAAAAGGACCTTCCCAGACAAAAGAAGTCTAAAAGAATATACCTCCACCAAACCAACTCTGCAAGAATTTCTAAATGGCCTGCTTCAAGAAAAGGAAGGAAAAGAGAGAGGGGGGGAACACAGGTGTGAAAATGGCAATGAATAAGTACCTATCGATAATAACTTTAAACATAAATAAATTAAATGCTCCAATCAAAATACATAGAATAGATGAATGGATAAGAAAGAATGACCCACATATATGCTGCCTACAAGAGATCCACCTCAGGACAAAAGACCTACACAGACTGAAAGTGAAGGGCTGGAAAAAAATATTCCAAGCAAATAAACAGGAAAAAAAGCTGAGGTAGCAATAGTCATATCGGACAAATTAGACTTCAAAAAAAGGGCCATAAAGGGAGTCCCAGAAGGTCACTTCATGATACTCAATGGAAGAATCCACCAAGAAGACATAAACATTATATATATATATATATATATATATATATATATATATATATCCAAAGTAGGAGCACACAAATAAATAAAGAAAATCTGAGAGGACTTCAGGAAAGATATTGACAGCAACTCCATTATAATATAAGATTTTAACACCCTACTGTAAAAAATAAACAGATCTTCCAAACAGAATATCAACAAAGATATTGTTGCATTTAACAAATCTCTAGATGAAATGTACTTAACTTTTATATATAGAGCCCTCCGTCCCAAAGAAGCTAAATACAGATTCTTTTCAATTGCACATGGAACATTTTCAAAAGTAGACTGTGTGATAGTACACAAAACAAGCCTCAACAAACTCAAGATTATTGAAATCATACAAAGAATTTTTTTGAATCACAAGGGACTAAATCTAGAAACCAACCCCTAGAAAAAAAACCCAAAACAGTCAAACTCATGGAGACTAAATAGCATGCTATTAAACAATAAATAAGTCAAGAATGAGATTAAGGAAGAAATCAACAAGTTTCTGGAAACAAATGAAAATGAACTCACAACAATCCAAAACTTGTGGGACACAGTGAAGGCAGTCCTGAGAGGGGGAAGTTCATAGCAATACAGGACTACCTAAAAAAGAAACATTTCAAACAAACGGCCTAACCCTACACCTTCAAGAAATTGAGGAGCAACAACAAGGACAGCCCAGAGCAAGGAGAAGGAACAAAATAACCAAGATCAGAGCAGCATTAAATGACATAGAGATGAAAAGTACAATTCTAAGGATCAATTAATCCAGAAGCTGTTTTTTTTAAAAAATAAAGAAAATAGACATGCCTTTAAGCAGGCTGATCAAGAAAAGAAGAGAGAAGACCCAAATAAACACAATCAGAACTGAAAGAGAAGAGATTACAGCTGACACCACAGAAACAGAAGGAATTGTAAGAAATTACTGTGAAGAACTGTATGCCAAGGAATGTGAAAACTTAGATGAAATGGACAGATTTCTAGAAAAATATAATCTTCAGATGAGACCAGATGGTTTCATAGGAGAATTCCACAAAGCATTTAAGGAAGAGCTAACCCCTATTCTTCACAGACTATTCCAAAATATCCAAAATGATGGAAGACTCCCAAAATGTTTTTATGAAGCCAGCATCATCCTAATTTCCAAGCCAGATAAAGACACAACAAAGAAAGAGAACTTCAGGCCAATATCTCTGATGATCATAGACGCTAAAATCCTCAACAAAATATTGGCAAACCACATTCAGCAATACATTAAAAAGATCATACACCACGACCAAGTGGGATTCATCCGAGGGATGCAAGGATGATTCAGTATTCACAAATCAGTAAATGTAATACATCACATAAACAAAAGCAAAGACAAAAACCACATGATCATATCAATAGATGAAGAAAAAGCTTTTGATAAGGTACAATACCCATTTATGATAAAAACACTCAGCAAAGTGGGAATAGAGAGAGCATTCCTCAATATAATAAAGGCCATTTATGAGAGACCTAAAGCCAACATCATACTCAATGGGCAAAAACTAAAATCTTTTCCATTAAGATCAGGAACAAGACAAGCTTGTCCACTTTCACCACTTCTATTCAATATAGTATTGTATGTTTTAGCCACAGCAATCAGACAAGAAAAGAAAAAAAAAAAGCATCCAAATCGGAAAGGAGGAGACAAAACTGTCACTGTTTGCAGATGACATGATAGTATACATAGAAAATCCTATAGACTCTACCCAAAAACTGCTCAACCTAATAAATGAATTTGGCAAAACAGCAGGATACAGAGTCAATATCCCGAAATCAAAGGCATTTTCATATACCAACAATGAAACAGCAGAAGCAGAAATGAAGAAAAAATGTGCCATTTGATATATCAAAAAGAAAAACAAAATACCTAGGAATAAACCTAACCAAGGGGGTAAAAGGCTTGTATGCAGAAAACTGCACAACACTGAAGAAAGAAATCAAGGAAGACACAAACAATTGGAAACGTATACCGTGTTCATGGATTGGAAGAATTAACATCATGAAAATGTCCATACTACCCAAAGCAATTTACAGATTCAATGCAATCCCTATTAAAGTACCAATGGCATATTTCACAGACATAAAATAAACACTTCGAAAATTTATATGGAAGTATAAATGATCCAAATAGCTGCTGTACTTTTGAGAAAGAGCCAAGTGGGATGGATTACAATACCTGATATCAAACTGTATTATAAAGCCACTGTAATCAAAACCTCCTGGTACTGGCATAGAAACAGGCAGATGTTCTGCCTGTTTTAAAAGAATAAACAAATGTACCCATGGAACAGGACAGAGAGTCCAGAAATAAACCCAAGTCTCTACGGTCAATTAATTGTTGACAAAGGGTCAACAACATAACATGGACTAAACAGCCTGTTGAACAAGTGGTGTTGGGAGAAGTGGACAACTATGTGCAAAAAAATGGAACTTGAGAACCAATTTACAGCATACACAAAAATTAATTCAAGTTGGATAAAAGATCTGAATATAAACTGTGATGCCATTAAAGTCCTAGTGGAGAACATAGGCAGGAAAATCTCAGATATATCATGCAGCAACATTTTTACTGATATGTTCCCTAGAGTAAGGGACATAGAAGAAAGAATAAACAAATGGGATCTCATCAAAATAAAAAGCTTCTGCATGGCTAAAGGAGACAGTATTAAAATAAAAAGAGAACCAATTGTGTGGGAAAATGTATTTGCCAATGATACCTCAGACAAGAGTTTAATCTCCAAAATATATAAAGAACTTACACAACTCCAGTGTAAGAAGACAAACAGCCCAATATAAACACCACCTATTGTTCTGAGGTCTGGGAAGTGCTTAATTGTGAGGTTGCAATCCTCTCTTCCTACCTTTCTCCACTCCTCCAAATTGTTAATTTCTACTTTTCCTATCAAAGTTTGCAAAGATGAGTAGAGAACAGATAACTACTTTCACTTATTTTGGTGTAATGCTTCCTTAGTTTTGATTTTATGTGTTATCTTGTCTTAGGCAGAAACTTGCTAAAACTTGTATAACTATGAAGCGACATTTCCACATTTTCTACAACATGGATACTTGTCTTATTAATGGAGAAAGATTCCCGAGGCATCTCAAACTTTAGACAACTTTTCTGTCCCAGGAACCAAGGCAGACCTGGAAAATGAGTAGCTCCTTTCATTGAATCCTTCACAGTCATCTGAAATGTTCCAACTCTTGAATCACACACAGATCAGTGTGTTTATCTCAGATTATACAAGGCCCTTTCAGATCAGGTAGAGATCCTCAGGGCTAGACCAAGCCATCAAAGTAGGTATCATAAATACACATCATACCTCTCAGTCATCAAGAACTACAAACTAATCAAAAAGTACTCATGGAGACTATGAAGGAGGAAAACCCCATAGAATCAGACCACCAGTCTCACCTTGTTGAATTCAAGCAGCCTGAAGAGAAAAACAAATTGCCAAAAGCTAATTCAATTGAAACTAAAATAAAAAAAAATGATTCAGCATGGGCAGTAACACAGCTACTAGTTTAATTAATCTACCTGACACTATTCAGACAACTGTTTGGGGGTCTCAGAGATGAGACCATTAGGTATTTTGGTACATTATAGCTACAGTATGAAGTTAGGCTGTTTTCAAGACAAAGCAGGGCTATGTAAATGCAAAAATGGAATCTAATTTTTTATACCTGTTTATTAAAAATAAACTAAATACAGTTAAATATTGAACCAATAGTGAGTCATCAAACCTGTGTTTTCATTTTTGTTTTACCTGTAAAATTAGAATCATTCCTCCTGGCACTTGATAACCTGAAATGGAAGGGAGAAGGCTACTGCAGAATTATGAGCTGGGTGATTTGTTTTCGGTTTCAATTCTGATACCACTTCATCTCAACCAGGCCCTTTTCTATACATTTTCTTCCCTTTCTCTGTCCTTATGCTTGTTTATACAACCCACAGTTTACCACAGCAGTCTTACAACAAGGCCAGGCAGTGCCCATACTCCCTGACCTTCTAATCTTCTCATCTATATCATTGGAACTCCCATGTGAATGAGTCAATGGTGAAGGGTCAACCACCATTCTCTCATAATGGCCAGCCAGTGAATTTTTTCTATCATATAGCATTTTCACAGTACCCATTGCCTTCCTCTGTGTAGGCAGGTATGCTTATTTGAGGGCAGTGATCCTTTTCTCAAAGTGTACCAGGTAAAGGAGGCCCTTATAGGAAGCATGCTAAGGTACAAAGTTCCATAAGTAAATAGGGTCATTGTTATTGGCTGTATAGAAAATCATGATGAGGGACCTATTGCTGATTATTAAACTTTCTCTGGAGCTGAGTCATAGCCACAGTCCTAATGCTTTTTTCAAGACTTATCAGTTTAGTGATGATGATGATGATGATGATGATGATGATGATGATGATTGTAGGAGATCATTCTGCATGGCATGGGCCCAGCGCCCACTCGGAGATGCACAAGACCCACGCCCATGGATAGGTTCTGCCATGGGGAATCAGGCATGCATTGTACCTAGACTGCTAAGAGACTGAGCCATTCCTTTCAAAACAAAATCTAAGCAAACCAATATTTTCAAATTAAATCCTCTAAAGGAGGGAGTGAGACACTGACCTAGAATCTTATCTCACACCACCTTGTGCTATTTCAACCAACTTCTGTTCAACTTTTTCCTAAATAAATCTAAAAGATCCCTTATCAGGGAGGCATTCAACATCCCCAAAACTGCTGAACTAGCTTAAAACATTGCTCCTGTTTCCCAGAGAGCCTGTTCCCCATGGTTGAGGATTCGCAGAAATCTTCGAAGAAATTTTTTAACATATAAAAGAACCTTTTTCTGAAATTCCTCCTGCCACAAGCACAGCAATTACAAAACCTGTCTCAATTTTGCCTTTTCTCCACCTGCATCTTTAAATCCTTATGCAGGCAGATGGAAGGAAAAGGCAAAACTGAAGGGACCGCAAGAAGTGGCTTAAAAGAAAGAATTTGGTGAGATGCTTGTAAATTGTCCTGTAACTAGTTGATGTTTTTAAAGCTGATTAAAGGGAAAATCTTTGCTCTTTCTCCCAAGCCTAGACCTAGTTGGGATTGTGCCACAGGGATCAGCTTGTGAGTGTTTTTACAGTGTTGTGGTGAGTGGCCTTGTGGCTCTTAACTGCTCGACCCATGCCTGCAAGATTGTGGCAAATGCTTGGGAAAGAAAGCAAGGCTCCTGCTTACTAAAGAAGGTACAGTTGCAAATCAGTCGCAAGAGAGGGCAACCTAGGAAGAAAATCCTAGGAAGAAAATCCTTTTCCTCTGAAATCCAACACAGCCTATGATCTTCTCGAAAAGTACTCAGTGTCGTCGGCCCTCACCTGGGCTGATGAACGTGTACTCCAACCAAGTTGGTGTGTTGCCCAAAACAATGGCTTGTAAGCTCCGGGTCCCTGTTCGTGGGCACCAGCTGATGCAGACCTCGGCCCATGAGGTCTGCCACATTGTGGATGAGGCACAAGAAATTCACATGGACTACTGAGTCCTGCGGAGGAATGTTGGGAGCCTACCAACAGCTGTCCCTTGACAAAGTCGGGGCAGATGAGATGCATCTGTAGAGCAGAGGCAACTGTAGCTGGATTTCCTGTCTATCTTTCCCTTGCATGTTTGTCTTTGTGATTAATAGGTGGGATTTTTAGATACCTGCATTTCAGGTCCAATGATCTGCATAATTCCAATGAAGTTATATAGAATAATTTCTTGGCCAGAGAACAAAGCCCCACTAATGAAGTAGCCCCTGAATATCTAAAAGTTGATGGAGTAACAGCCCCTCCTCTACCTTGGACAGGAATATGTATTACTTGAAAGTAGACAGGCAAAGAAATGGGAGAAGCTGGTTAGCTACTACAAACTAAGCATGTAGAAACAATTACCAAGGAGTCAAGTTCATATTACATAAAGAAACATTTTAGACAGAAAGATAGATAGCTAAGTTAGACATCACAAAACCCTTATAATAAACTTCCTATAACCTCTGCTCATTCTAGCACACCCTTTTGCCCTATGCCAAATTCTAAGAACTTTAATAAACAATAAGACATTTAAACTCTGTACATCCAGCTATTTCAAATTGTCTGATTAATGGCTCTTCTGGTCGAAACAACCTTTGTTTAACACAACTGAAACTATGGAAATTCCTGGTTACTTTTCCTGTTTACCTCTGTATTGGTTTTTTCTGCTTAACTGATCATGCCATGCACCTGTTCCTTTAATGTTATATAACAATCTCTATAAAAATAAATCCTAAATCAAACTCTGAGAGTTCGGTCAGACCCACAGAGGCTGGCTGTTCTCCGGCATCCAATCGGGTGTCTGACTCTTCATTTGTCACCTGCGACATCCATCCTTCGGGGGACTCTGAACCCTGCCAAGGCTGGACCCCGATGGAGGAAAAGGGAGAGCATGGCTTTTCTCTCAAGGGGAGAAAAAGCTGCAGCCTCCACCATGACAGGCCTTTATTTCCTTTTTCTTGGCACATTACATGATGGTCCTCATTTACTATGTACAAGTTCACTTTAGGTGGTTACCTTTTACAGAAAACAAAGGAGATGATGCCCCTAATCACATCACTGAAGAAGAATATTTGCAAATGAAAAAGAAAAAGTGGTTGAACAGGTTCCACTCCATATTGGGGAGTTTTAGCATGGATTTTAGGAAGATACAGTAAGCACTTCTGTCTCAATTTAGGGTGAGGGAGTTTTAGCAAAAGCGAGTCTCATAGCAGCCTAGGTACAATGCAGGCCCAATTCCCCACGGGAGAACCTATCCGTGGGCATGGGTCCTGTGCATCTCTGAGTGGGAGCTGGGTCCACACCACGCAGAATGATCTCCTACAGATGATGATGATGATGAGATAGCTTGCACTTATCATCTACCAGGTGAGTTTTAAATACTTTGACATGTATTAAGTTTTTAGTCCTTAGAAAATCCTATGAGGTAGGTACTGTCATTATCCCTATTTTACAGATAAGGAGACTAAAGCATAGAGAGGTTAAGTGACTTGCCCAAAGCCACCTAGCTTATAAATGATATATTTGTGATTCTAACCAAGACAGCATGTCTTCATAGTTTCACACTCTTAAGCATTGAATTAATGAGTACTGTTCTCTAGGAGAACAGATTTTTGGATCCAAACTTGTACTAGAAGAGTCTGACTGGCAGATTTCATAGTAAGTCCTTTCAACTTACTGATCTTTTAGATTTATTTGAAAGGTTCCAAATTACTTGTCTAAGTCACCTAAAAGAGTGAGGACACTTCTGTGGGGAAGACAAAGAGCACAGATTTATTTTCAGGTGTCCAGCTCTAACTGCCCCCTGCAAAGCAGTTGAGGCTTAGTACTGCTGCCCCTTATGTGGTAGCACTAGGAGAGGAGATGGTAGCTGGTGGTAGAAGATGCTGGTGTGAGAAGATTCTTTCTCACAGCCAATGGGACTGTAAAACTAACTTTATCATATTAGCAAGGCAAAGCAGAAGGAATGAACTCTTCAATCTTCTTTCTTTCCCTTTTCCTGTACTTTATTTAAGGTGGCTTTAGCTCATTTACTTGAAATCATCTAGAGAAATATGCTTGATGGGGGAGCACCATCTGCACTTTTTCCTATGAAGCTTCCCCATGGCACTCACAGACAGTCTCAGAAATCTCTCTTTTTCCCTTCCCCAGGAATTATTTGGAACCTGGTAGTTTTCTAGGGCCAACCAGGAGTTTGCAAAGTAGCTGCACTTATTTCAGAATTTATGGCTGTGGGACCTAGACATCAGTAGTTTTTAAAATAAAATTCCCTAAGTGATTCTAATGTGCAGCCAGGCCTGTGAACCACTAACAACCTCCTTGTCTTCCTTACTTTACAAAAAGAACACCTGACTCTCATTACACCCATTAAACACTGTGAAATATACACGCAAACATACAAACACACCAGAAGTTAGTTGCTTGCTAATTTTATCCCCCCCCCCATTTCCCAGGTAGAGACCACTGGAGATGTTTAAATGCGTGGCCTCAGGACTCCCAAAAAGGAGTGGCAGTAAGCATTCAGCTGAGATTGCAAACTCGTCCATAGATATCCTGAGCTCTGTCGATATCTTCAAGACCTGGTGTGTTCCAGAGGTGCCAATATGGATTTGAATAGACCTGCACTCAGGTAACAATGACCAATAAAGCAAAAGATGACATTCCCATATGTCTACAGGGAAAACTAGAAAAGGAGGGAGAGGGTATCACTTTCTTGATTACTAGAAGTTGGATTATCCAGGTGTCTAGTGTTGCATAATTCCTTCAATCCTACTCAAGTGTATTCTTTTCCCAGTGGGCAGCAGTCCTTGTTCAAGGTATAAAACAGTTTCAGTTTACCTTTCTTGTTAAAACCAACATTTCCATGTTTGACTATCTGATACATAATCAACATGCATGTGTTGCGTATAGGATAATTCACTTATTATTTAATATCTCAACTCTTGAGGTATTTGTCTCCCACACTACTTCCAACTCGCTTGAATGTCTTCAGGATTTCCCTTTCATTGTATCCTTCTTATCTACCTTCACAAATTCACAAGATATCCTGACAAATATCTCACTTGATGTCACAGATATCTCAATTGGTAACCCTTCTTGCTCCCCTCTCCACTCACCTCTTCTTTATCATTGCTTTACTCTTCTAGGCTCCTTTTCTTCCCCCATCCTTTTAACCAATTTTCTACCACATTTCTTAAAAGTAATTGATACTCACTATACCATTTCTTCAGCATCTACTTCCTCCTTTGAAACCTGGTTTCAGCCCTCATCACTTTTCCCAATCCTAGTATGCTCATAAGCCTGCAACATTTGATATTCTTGAAAGTCCTTCCTAAAACTTTCCTCAATTGGCTTTTCTGACATGCTCTTCACTCACTGAATGATTCTTCTCCACTTCATGTCCTCTCTTAGCAAGTCCTGCTCACTAATTGTGGCTGCTTCCACATTTTCTGCAAAGCTCTGAACAATGATCTTGCTCTCTGCACATTCTAACTTCTAATTCATTCTCAACCCACTGCAACCTGGCTTTCATTTTTCATTATTGTCTGATAATCTCATCTGTCTCCATCTGTCACTTATATATTGATATTGCTTAGGATTTTGCCATTTATGAAATGACAAAAAGTCCCATATCCTTTTTTCTCTCCTTATATACTCTTCCAATTTCTTTTTTTAAATTTTTTAAAATTTTATTTAGTTTTATTTCAAGTATAGTTTTTTGTCTATTTCTCCCATCCCAACCCTCCCCTGCCCCATGCTCCCAACCTCCCTCCCATTTCCACCCCCCTTAGTTCTCGTCCCTGTGTCCTTCCTATTTGTTCCTCCAAATTCCTCCCCTTTTTCCCCCTTAAATTCCCTTCCCTCTCCCCTCTGGTCACTGTCCCCTTGTTCTCTATTTTAGTGTCTTTATTTTTATTCTGCTTGCTTGCTTGTTTTGTTGTTTAGCTTACTGTTAAAGGTGAGATCATATGGTATTTGTCTTTCAACACCGAGCCTATTTCAGTCAGCACAATGCTTTCTAGTTCCATCCATGTTGTTGCAAAGGGTAGTAGCACCTTCTTTCTCTCTGCAGCATAGAATTCTATTGTGTATATGTACCACAATTTTTTGATCCATTCATCTACTGATGGGCACCTAGATTGCTTCCAACTCTTGGCTATTGTAAATTGTGCTGCTATGAACATTGTGGTGCATAGGTTCTTTGATATTGATGTTTTAGGATTCTTAGGGTATAATCCTAGCAGTGGAATTGCTGGGTCAAAAGGCAGGTTGATTTTTTTTTCTGAGAAAATTTCATACTGTTTTCCATAATGGTTGTACCAGTCTGCAATCCCACCAATAGTGAACTAAGGACCCCTTTTCCCCACAACCTCTCCAACATTTGTTGTTTGTTGCTTTGTTTATGATAGCCAAGGGATGCCCACTTTCATCATCACTATTCAACATATACTGGAAGTCCTAGCCACAGCAATCAGATAAGAAATAGAAATAAAAGGCATTCAAATTGGAAAGAAGGGAACAGAACTGTCACTGTTTGCAGATGACATGATAGTGTACATAGAAAATCCAAAAAATTAACCAAAAAACTACCCAATCTAATAAATGAGTTTTGGGAAAACAGCCAGATACAAAGTCAATACTCAGAAATCAAAGACATTTTTTACATTAACAATGAAATATCAGAAACAGATATCAGAAAAAAATCCCATTTGATATAGAAACAATAAAAATAAACTACCTAGGAATAAACCTAACCAATGAGATAGAAGACCTGTACTCAGAAAAGTAAATAACACTGAAGAAAGAAATCAAGGAAGACACAAAACAAATGGAAGCATGTACCATGCTCATGGATTGGAAGAATCAACATCACCAAAATGTCCATACTACTGAAAGCAATTTATATATTTAATACAATCCCTATTAAAGTACCCATGGCATATTTCACAGACCTAGAACAAATGCTTCAAAAATTTATATGGAAACATAAATGACCCCAAGTAGCTGCAGCAATTTTTAGAAAGAAGAACAAAGTAGGAAGGATTACAATACCTGACATGAAACTGTATTACAAGGCCACTGTAATCAAAACAGCCTGGTACTGGCATAAAAACAGGCACATAGAGCAATGGAACAGGACAGAGAGCCCAAAAATAAACCTAACTTTCTACAGTCAGTTAATATTTGACAAAGGGGGAAGAAACATAAAATGGAGTAAAAGTAGGCTCTTCAACAAATTGTGTTTGGAGAGCTGGACTGCTAGGTGCAAAAAAATGAAACATGATCACCAACTTACACCATATACAAAAAATAAATTGAAGGTGGATAAAAGACTTAAATATAAGTCATGACATCATAAACATTCTATAGGGAAACATTGGCAGGAAAATCTCAGACATTCCATGCAGCAACATCTTCATGGATATGTCACCTAAAGCAAGGGACATAAAGAAAAGAATAAACAATGATACCTCACCAAATTTAAAAGCTTCTGCATAGGTAAAGAAAACAGCATTAAAACGAAAAGGTAGCCAAATGTATGGGAAAACATATTTGCCAAGGATACCTCAGACAAGGGTTTGATCTCCAAAATGTATAAAGAACTCACATGTCTCCACTCCATGAAGACAAAAAACCCAATTAAAAAATGGGCAAAATACTTGAACAGACACTTCTCAAAAGAGGACGTACAGAGGGCTTAGAGACACATGAAAAGATGTTCAACATTACTAGCCATCAGAAGGATGAAAATTAAAACCACAATGAGATACCACCTCACACCAGTCAAAATGGCCAACACAAGCAAATCAACAAACAAGTGTTGGAGAGCATGCAAAGAAAAGGGAACCCTAATGTACTGTTTGTGGGAATGCGGACTTGATGCAGACCCCAGCTTGTGCGGTCCACCACATTGTGGATGAGATATGAGGAATTCACATGGAGTACTGAGTCCTGTGGAGGGAAAGGAACAGCTTGGCTTCTCTCTCTCAGGGGGAGAAAAAGCCTCAGCCCTTGCCTTGACTGGCCTTTATTGCTTTTCTCAGCACATTAGGTGATGGTCCTCATTTACTGTGCATGGGTTCACTCTAGGTAGTTACTTTTTACGGAAAACAAAGAAGATGATGCCACTAATCACATCACAGAAGGATATTTGCAAATGCAAAGGGAAAAGTGGTTGAACTGGTTACACTCTATACTGAAGAGGTTTAGCATGGATTTTAGGAAGTTACTTTGCAGTAAATGTTTACTGCCTCAATTCAGGGTGAGGGAGTTTTAGCAACAGCAAGTCTCATGGCAGTCTAGGTACAGTGCAGGCCTGATTCCCCATGGGAGAAACTATCCGTGGGCATGGGTCCTGTGCATCTCTGAGTGGGAGCTGGGCCCATGCCACACATAACAGTCTCCTATACAGACTGGTGCAGCCACTGTGGAATTTCCTCAGAAAGCTAAACATGGAACTGCCTTTTGACCCAGCAATTCCATTGCTGGGATTATACCCTAAGAACCCTGAAACACCAATCCAAAAGATCCTATGCACCCCAATGTTCATAGCAGTACAATTTACAATAGCCAAGTGCTGGAAGCAACCTAAGTGCCCATCACTAAATGAATGGATCAAAAAACTATGCTACATTTATGCAATGGAGTTCTACACAGCAGACAGAATGAAGGAGCTTCTACCCTTTGTGACAGCATGGATGGAACTGGAAAGCATTATGCTAAGTGAAATAAGCCAGGTGGTGAGGGACAAATACCATATGATCTCACCTTTAAGTGGAACATAATGAACAAAAGAAAAAAGCAAACAAAAATAACCAGAGTCATTGAAATTAAAAACAAACAATAGCCAGAGGGGAGTGGGGAGAGGACAGTGGGGAGAAGGGTTTTCAGGAACTGCTATAAGGGACAGATGAAGAAAACCAAGGGGGGGTTGGAGGTGGTGGGGGAAGGGTAGGGAGAAAATATGGACAACTGTGGGTGAACAACAATAAAATAATTTAAAGGAAAAAAAGAGAAAAGTTCTAGGTCTTATTATTAGGGTTTCCAGAAAGGAAAAAAAAAAAGGCCAGAGAAGGAAAAACAACAACAACAACATTTTTTTCCATTCTTATTTTAAATCTATGCCTACCCAAGGAGTTGCTTATTGATTTTAGAAAGAGGGAGAGAGAGAGGGACAGAAACATCAATCAGTTGCCTCTTGCATGCACTCTCACCTGGGGACCAAATCTGTAACATAGGCATGTGTTCTGTCCATTAATTGACCTTTTGGTGTATAGAATGACACTCCAACCAACTGAGTTACACCTGTCAGGGCTATCCTCTTTTGACTGGTGTATTTCCCACCAGTAGGATTAGTCTACTGAAAGTCTTCCTCACAATCAGACGCTAGTGAAATGGCACACATAGTGTTGGCTAGGGCCATACTAGATGATCATATGACTTTTAGGTATAGGACAACCTTTCTTGAGCAGATGGTCTGGGTGCCCATGAGTTAGTGAGGAAGACACCAACAGCACTACTGAGATGTCAAAAGAAGGAAAGTCATTGTGAGTAAACATAACAGAAATTTCTTTCAGTTCTTTTCAGCCATGCCTTCCAACTTAGGTTGTACTAAGCTTCTAAAATAATTACCTTCTCAAATGTGTATGAGAATAAGTTTTGGACTTTTTTTAAAAATTATTTATTTATTTATTTTTTCCTTAATTAATTTATTTTTATTGATTATGCCATTACAGTTTTTCTATTCCCCCCTTCATTCCCCTCCACCCTACTCCCCCGTCCCCACAATTACCCCCCTTTAGTTTATGTCCATGTGTCTCAAGTCCTTTAGATTCTATATTTCCCATGCTATTCTTGCCCCCCCATCTATTTTCTATATACTGTCTATGCTACTTATTTTCTGCACCTTCACCCCCCCTTCTCCTCCTCCCACTCTCCTGTTGCTAACCCTCCTTGAGATCTTCATTTCTATGTTTCCACTCCTGATCTAGCTGTCCTTTTAGTTTGCTTTTGTTTTCGGTGTGGTTGTTAATAACTGTGAGTTTGCTCTCCTTTCACTGTTCATGTTTTTTTAACTTCTTTTTCTTAGATAAGTCCCTTTAGCATTTCATATAATAAGGGCTTGGTGATGATGAACTCCTTGAATTTGATCTTATCTGAGAAGCACTTTATCTGTCCTTCCATTCTAAATGAAAGTTTTGCTGGATAGAGCAATCTTGGTTGTAGGTCTTTGGATTTCATGACTTGGAATACCTCTTTCCAGCCCCTTCTTGCCTGTAAGGTCTCTTTTGAGAAATCCGCTGACAGTCTGATGGGGACTCCTTTGTAGGTGACTGTCCCCTTAGCTCTTGCTGCTTCTAGGATTCTCTCCTGCATTTTAATCTTGGCTAATGTAATGATGATGTGCCTTGGTGTGTTTCTTCTTGGGTCCAATTTCTTTGGGACACTCTGAGCTTCCTGGATTTCCTGGAAGTCTATTTCCTTTGCCAGATTGGGGAAATTCTCCTTTATTATTTGTTCAAATAAGTTTTCCACTGGTGGCTGTGCCTTTCCCCCTTCTGGTACCCCTATAATTCGGATGTTGGAGTGTTTAAAGATGTCCTGGAGGTTCCTAAGACTCTCCTCATTTTTTTGAATTCTTACTTCTTCACTCTTTTCTGTTTGGCCATTATTTGCTTCCTTCTGGTCCACTCCATTGATCTGAGTCCCAGTTTCCTTTTCATTGCTATTGGTTTCCTGTGCAATTCCATTCATTTCAATTAGTTTCACCTTCATATGTTTCTCTAATTTGTGGCTATAATCAACCAGTTCTGTGAGGATCCTGATGACCAGTGTTTTAAACTGTGCATCTGAGAGTTTTGCTATTTCTTCATTGCTTAGATTTATGGGCTCTGGGGCTTTGAGATCTTCTTGAGCCATTTTTGTTCTGTTCGAGCCTGTTAAGTACGAGAGAAGTGGCACCTTGGACTCCCAGGTCCCTGGGTTGTGATGCTGTATGTGGAGGCGGGGTCAGAGCAGGAAATGGCGGCGCCCTACGCTGCCGCTCACCACAGGGGCCTGCTGGCTCCCGTCCAATCGCCCACTCTCTCGCTGGTCTATCCACGCATGAATGCGCAACCACAGTCAACCCGCAGCCCTGCTCCCTAGCTGTTTACCTGCAGTCGCTTGCTGAGTTGCCCACCAGGTCCAACCCTGCGCCTGGATTCCGCGTGCCTGAGTCCGTCTGACTGAGTTTTCCTGTGCAACCCCACTCTGCCAGCTGCTGGTTTCGCCCCTCTTACCGGTCAGGCTGAAGAATTTGTTGTTATCAGACTTCCGAAAAGTTTGATTTTCTGTGTTCTGGCTGTGTTTTCTGTTGCTAGTATTTAGTTGTCTCTAAACTTGGTTGTGTGAGGAAGCAGGGCGTCTCCACCTATGCCTCCATCTTGGCAGAAGTCTTATTTATTTATTTTTATAGCGAGGGAATGGGAAGGAGAAAGAGTGGGAGAGAAACATCAGTGTGTGGTTGCCTCTCATATGTCCCCGACTAGGGACCTGGCCTGCAACCCAGGCATGTGCCCTGACTGGGAATCGAACCAGTGACCCTTTGCTTTACAGGCCAATGTTTAATCCACAGCCAGGGCAAGTTTTGGACTTTTATTTAAGACGCAAGTTGAACAAGGTCTTACATCATAGGACGACAGTTTTCAGAAAGGTCAAGGATTCTGCTTTAGCTAATAAATGGTTTTTCTTTACCAAAGAATTATACATAGTTTCCAACAAAATTTTTAGTCATAGTTCCCCATGTAAAACTATAACCCTAGGTTGGGATCATTTGTTGGAAAATCATTCATTCATGTGTGTACACAACTAGATGTACCCACTCAAAGGACAACTATAAATTATACAGTAGGCACAAAATGTTGGCAGAGGTCTTGGGTCATAGCTCATTGATTTTTTAATTTATGTACAGTAATATTGAAAGATAGCTCTATGGATGTGTATGGAAATTCACTCTTTTGTCTCTTAAGTAGAATATGTAAACCTTGGGATTTCAGCCCTGGCAGCAACCTGTGAGAGGTTGCTTGAAATCTTACTTTCCTAAGAAGAGGTCACATTTCAGCTGAGAGTACAGGTGGTTTCTCCACCTCAATCCTAGAGTTAAATTAACACCCTTCTATTGCATGACCTTTCATCTGAGGTGATGTCTAAAAGCTGATAGGTGCTACAGCCTTATTTGGGCTTGGTGAGGGAGATCATAACTCCCTTCTCCTCCTCCTGTGAGACCCCCAACTGAAACTCTCTTAGGGACTTTAGTTAGGGTCTGGTCCATTATTACATTAATATTTTCTTATTGATTTTACCTGAAAAAATCTAAAGTCATGCCTTTCTTTCTTTTACAGCTTATTGCATTCATGTCAGTCATAGCACCGTGACAATTCTTTGAGCTCTGAGTGAGGGATATGAAGTGGAGCTTCAAGGAACCACAGAAATCAAGGTATAAATGTCCTTCCCTTTTGTGAGTCAGACCACTCAGACACACCTGCTTCTGGAGAGGTCATGGTCTACTGAAAGAGTTTACCTGGATGCTTGAGAATAAGATCTATAATTTGGGTAGCATTTTCAGCCCTATTTGCTGGTTCCTAAAATATTGTTCCTTTTTGCCTCAGTTTTTTAAAAAATATGGCTATAGTGAGTAAGATTGTTAAAACTCTTGCATTTTTCAGACTGTGAGTTTCCTCTTTCTCCCTTAAATAGTTGCCTGGAATTTGGCTTTCCAATGAGCTGCACTATTACTTACATTTTAAAATTTCCATTTTGTTTTCTTTGACAGTGCTAGATATTTTTCCATAAGCTACATTATTGGTGAGTTTGGGTTTTCTATTTGCCTGATCAGTGGCCATCCTTTCTGGCTTTTTGTCTTTACCATTGTGTCTTGCTCCAAAGATCAAGATGAATAAACTCAGTTCCTATGAAAGACAAACATTTGGTACCACCTTTTCTCTGTTAGGACTATCCCTTGATCTAAGATTCAGGATTAGGGTAATTTTCTGGGTTTTTTGTTTTGTTTTGTTTTTTGCTATTTCCACTGGATTTTTTAAAAGATTTTATTTATTTATCTTTAGAGGGGAAGGGAAGGAGAGAGGGAGAGAAATATCAATGTATGGCTGCCTCTCCTGTATTCCCTGCTGGGAACTGGCCTGAACTCCAGGCATGTGCCCTGACTGGGAATCGATCTGTGATCTTCTGGTTCACAGGCCCATGCTCAATACACTGAGCCACACCAGCCAGGGCCTCCACTAGACTTTTTTCCATCTTCCTCTGATGACTCCAATTAAGGAACTCTAGATGCCCCAGTTGTAAGAGACTCTCAAGATCTGATAATCTAATTTCTTCAATTTCAGATCAAGAACCAAGGCTCAGAGAAATGAAATAATTTGATTATGTCATACAGTCAATTGATAGCAAAATTAGGCCAAATCTTAGGAAACCTGACTTCCCATTCAGTACCCTTTCTATGATGCCATTGTGCATGAAAATTATTTCCTCAGTGATTGTTCTTAGCCAAAGCAAAACCTGGGCACTGAGAAATTCACAATTTGTTTCTGCCATTGGCATGCCTTCCTCAAATGGTGGCAATTTACATGTAAACATGTTCCAGAACTTCAATTTTGGAAGACCCGATACTGGTTGATCAATTTAATTTTAGAGTAGTCCTAGTTTGTACCTTTCAACAGGTTCTTAATATCTTCTAACAGGGGGTATGAATCTTTCATGAAGGCAAAGAGGTTCCTTTCCCACCTGAGCAGTGAGTCAGGTTACCCAGGGCTTTTGTGATCCCCCCGTTTCTCTCTCTCTTTCTCTCTCTCTCTATATATATAATCAGCAGATAATATATAAAATAATATATTATATTATTTTATATAATATAATATGTAATATATATTACTATATATTATTTTATATAATATTATATTATAATATTATATATAATCAGCACAGGAGGAGAAAGTCAGCTTGCTTTCCTGAAGCACTTTCCTCTCTGTATTGCTAGCCATCAATTCCCTCATTTAAAAGCTGAAGAGCTAAAGAGGTGCTGCTTTGAATCTGAAAAGGAATAATATTCTCTCATCCCCATGGTTTTTATTGCCTGCCCCCAATTCCAGTCAGAGACAATCATGTATTTGGGTGTTTCAAGTACAAAAGCAAGATTATTCCAAAAGGGCCCTTTACAGAATCACAGTTTCTCCTTATGCAGGGAGTTGGAGGAAGAGGCAGGGAGAGGGTTCCCCTAGGGCCACCTCTGGTCTTGGTTATTGAGGTGGCAGGGGCCTCCTGAGGAAGGGATATTGAAAGGAAGATACTAAGACCAAAGAGTAGAGGGGCCTCAGAGGGAAGGAAGAGGCAATGAAAAGAAGTAAGGTGATGGGAAGTAAGATCCAAAGAAAGGAAAGGCTAGAAGGGGAGATCCTTTCTATCTTTGTGAAAGGTATTTGACATTATTTAGTAGGGACTGGGAGATTTCCTTGTCCCTTGAAGGCATGCAGTAGATCCCTAATAAGATCATATCACCAGCTCACTTCAGAAATTCTGATTCAATATTTTCACCCTCTTATCCACTTTTGTATGCTGAAAGCAAGAATTGCTCTAGTACCATAAGTCAGAAGGACCACATTTGATGGACAGCTGTGATTTCAAAGCTAAAACATTCTCTTTTCCAGCTAGCTGATGTTTGAAATCCCTCCATCAGAGTCTCTTCTCTTGAGCTTAAAGCTTGGGTCTTGTAATACTCTGCCCTATCCTGTCTGCTTCATTGGAGTGACAACACTTCAGTTGTTTTTCTTAGTGGAATCAAAGATGTACATTGGATTGAGTGAGAGAAGAGAACATAGAGAAGTTGAGTAATTGGGTAGGTGGTGTGTACAAAGAAAGAGAACAAAATGAGGAAGCTGAGGTAACTTGGGGGTGCACCAGTTTAAAGATGTGAGGCTCAGCCTCTCTGGGAAATGTCCAACTGCCCACTCCAACCCCATCTTGTACTATGCAGATAACAAATAGCCAATTCTTAACCAGACAATTCTGCTTTTCCCAATATTTCTTTTCTAATGGCCTGGTGATAGTCATCTTATTACTTTTTTTTTCTTACATGAGTCTTCTTTCAGTTACTGTTTTCCTCACAAGTTTGAAGCTCCCTGCTAAGACTTTGTATATATCTTGGATTATCAGTTGTATTTACCAGGGCCTATGAAGTAGATTTATATTCTGAAGAGACTTTCCCAAATGGTTGTTCTCAGCCAGTTTATGTTGTCCTTGCAAGAGGTGGACACTTTCTGACTTTGTCTCTGAATTCTGGGACTAAATAATATTTGATTCTCAGCCCCTTAAGCAGTAGTGCTGTTTTATTTGTGAATTCTCCTTTTTCTCCCAATCTCTTCCACTCAGACCCTCAAGCACTAACACATACACATGAACATGCATGTGTGCAATCATGTACATATACATACACACAAGCAATTCAGTCAAGTAATAAATTTGTATTGATATAGTCCTGAGGGTGAGAAGATCTACTCTATATTTCTTGTCCCATCAATGATTCAATGTGTGACATTGGACAAGTAAGTACATCTCTCTGTGCTTCTATTTCTCATATAAAGAACTCTTCAGATCTGTGATTATAATGAAGTTCATGAATCATAAACTTTAACATTTTCAACAGTTGCTTTTTTGACTATAGGCCTGCATCTTGACTCCAGTGTGTTCGAAAAGCTATATAGTATGGAGGCAAGAGCAATAAAAATTGGGAATCTAAGATTTTAACTAGATTTACTGTGGTGATCATTTCACAATATATACAAATATTGAATCATTACATCGTACACCTGAAACTAATATAATGTTGTGTGTCAATTACACTATAATAAAAAGTCATAGTAAAAAATTAAATTAGTAGAATTGGGTTCAAGTGACAGCTATGCCTAACAAGACATCTAATCTCCATGAACCTTACTGAATCCATTTGCAAAATGAGAGTACTAATAAACCTACTTTTCAGAGGTTTAGTGAAGATTAAAGAAAGGAGTTGCCAAATTGTCTTAAAAGTGTGAGTCTAAAGTAAAATGATATTATTTAGAGGGTCTCTGGGACTTTTAGAGACAGATTTTTAGTAAAAGAGTTTGCTTTAGGCTTTAATTGTTGCATAGTTGTTTTCTCTCTCTTTTTCTTAATCAAAACTTTGGAAGTAGGGTAGATTAACAGAGAGCTAGGATTCTAAAAATTCTCCTGGATGGGCTCCAAAACCTCAGGGAGCCTCTGGATTTCACTTGCTTATGCTTTTTAAAAATTGAATTTATTTGGGTGACATTGGCTAATAAAATTATATAAGTTTCAGGTATACAGTTCTATAATACATCTGTATATTGTATTGTGTGTTCACTACCCCAAATCAAATCTGGTTCCATCACCATTTATTCCCTTTTCCCACCTCACTTTGCCTCTGATAATCACCATACTGTTGTCTATGTCTGAGTTCTTTTTCTTCTTTTTTAAAAAAGATTTTATGTATGCATTTTTAGAGAGGGCAAGTGAGGGAGAGAGGGAGGGAAACATCAATGTGTGGTTGCCTCTGGCACAGCCCCTTCTTAGGACCTGGCCCACAACCCAGGCATGTGCTCTGCAAATCAAACCTGCAATCCTTTGGTTCGCAGGCCAGCACTCAATCCAGTGAGCCATACCAGCCAGAGCATGTGAGTTCTTTTTCTTAATATCATCACCTTTTTCACCCAGTCCCCCCAAATCCCTTCCCCTCTGACAGTTATCAGTGTGTTCTCTGTATCTATGAGTCTGTTTCTATTTTATTTGTTAGTTTATTTTTTCATTATATGGCACATATAAGTGAAATCATAGGTACTCGTCTTTCTCTGACAGGCTTACTTCACTGAGCATAATGCTCTCCAGGTCCATCCATGCTATCACAAAAAGTAAAATTTCCTTCTTTTTTCAGCTGAGTCATATCCCATCATGTAAATATACCACAGCTTTTTTATCCACTCATCTACCGATGGGCACTTGGCCTGCTTCCAAGTCTTGGCTGATACTAATGCTACAGAGTATATCAGGGTGCATATATTCTTTATAAAAATTTTTATTGTGTTTTTTCAATTACCATTTGGTCACTTATACCTCCCTCCCTGCTGCAATGTACCACACTGTTCATACTGTTGTCCATATGCATGAGATCTTTATCCTTTTTGCTCAATCCCTCTACCCCCTAACCTCCTCCAACTTAGCTGTCATCTTGCTCTCTATGTGTTTTGGGTTTCTTTGGATATAGTCCCAGAAGTGGAATCACTGGGTCATAAGGCCATTCAATTTTTAATTTTTTGAGATAAATCCATACTGTTTTCCACAGTGGCTGGACCAGTCTGTATTCCTACTAACAGTGCATGTTAAGCTCCCCTTTACCCACATCCTCTCCAGCATTTGTCGTTTGTTGATTTA